AAAATTGACGGCCTCAGCCGAGAATCGAAGCGGGAGTTCTCGGTATATGTCCAGTTGCGCTATCGAGACAGCACTTTTAATGCAGACTTAAGGTGATAAGAGCCGCTGTGATGGTTACACTATATCTTTCATCTACAAAGTTTACAAAACAGGTTTTCATTTAAATCATTTTTTAAAATTTAAATCTTATTGTATTAAAAAATTATTTTTGAATATGTTTCATGAACTAATGGGCGATTATGGGACATTATTGTTATTTAGTAGTTTTTACATTATTAAACATGTTTTGCATTATTAAATATGTTAATCAAAAACAATTTTTATTTTAACTCGTGGTCGTAAATACATAAACATTGAATGTGTATGTGATTATACGGATATTCATTATCTCACAGCTAATTTTTTAAAATATTAATGAGTTAATATTTAGCTAGAAATTAATATAATGGAAATAAAACAAAATATTTCATTTTGTTTTCGATAAATCAGAAGAATAAACGTAAATTTTAGACAATCTTTATGTTAAAACATTATACGTCATAAATAATGCATCATTTAATAAACAATTTAACCAAAGATATTGTAAGCTTTTTAATTTTTTTTGTCTCAAAACTTATTTTGTTTCTTAAGATTAAACAATTTAGAAAATAAATAATTTTTCAAATGATCCATTAGTGTTATACAATATTTGCTCTATGCAATCTTGGTTTTAATTAATGTGTGCATTTTATTAATGAGAACGGAAAGATAATAAGGTACTACTTGAGGAAATGTTGATGAAAAGGTAAGAAAAATATTTTGTGAATTTAAATTATTTTTTAAAATCAACTGATAAAACAGTAACTTGTATTAGTTAAGGCATCCAGTGATAGAGAGACAACTAACTAAATTCAAAACATCGATTTATTGACGTAGTCAACGTGTTTATAATTGAGCACATTCATAAATCGATATTTTGAATTTTGTGGGTTAGCTCCCTCTCTCACTAGAAGTCTCAATGTATTTAAATCAATGTCACCCTACTCCGTGCACACACCACAAGCGCCTACCCGCCCTCTCCTGCTGCCAGCACTCCCGCCACCTCCCCACAACTCTCCCGAATGACATGGCGCCGCACGCGACCTGCCCCACCACATCCCAGCGTACCTGCCCTCAATCATCACTACAGTGCGGTTTTTATAAAGCTCCCTCTCAAGGGGATTATATCTCTTCATTTCGCGTCTTTCTCGGTCGTGCCGTTAGATGTCGCATGATCGCGACCGTATTGAGCACGGCTTGATCATGCGACATCTGGCGGCACGACCGAGAAAGACGCGAAATGAAGTTATATAATCATACTGTGAAGACGGGCCTTGAGAGACAGCTTTATAAAAATTGCTTCTCCACGTCGATTGTGGCGGCTTGGGCACCAGCGCACTGACAATAAGGACCGAAGAGCGCGGGTTCAGCCCGGGTAGGAGGCTGACTATCTCGAAGAAGGCGGGCACTTGCTACATAGCAGGTCGAATTTAGCCGCTACGTGAAGGAGAATTTTAGCGGTCGGCTGCTCTGGTCGGTAGTATTTCATGGATTCTCCGATCAACACCAGTGTAATGTCGGGGCAGTACCTTTACAAATGGGCCACGAGCTTACACTTACATGCACTTTACTACCACACATGCGGGGACACCGGTCGAGAGATAAGATCCGGCCTGGAGAGTTGCTGGTGGGAGATACCTGGATGAGGGAAGACCCATAAGCCTGCGGGAAGGTCGGTGCCGTATCTCACCATTCGGAAGGAAGGAATTGATTGATTGATTGTTAGTGATTCCGGGGACGTCAACTAATTGGATCATTTGTCCCGTAAGTGTAGTGCGTGATTTTGCTCGGGAGATGGCCTTCCCCGTTGGTTGGTGAGATACGGCGCCGTCCTAGCATCGGCTAGCGGAGTTTTCCCAAACCAGGTATCCCCCACCAGCTGGGCACCGTCCCAGCCGGGACAAGCTCTAAGCTCCCGATCAGTCTTCCTGCATGTGTGGTAGTGTAGCGCACTTAGTATAAGTAAGTGTAAGGGGTGAGAGTAGAACAAGGAATCACATTCACCAACTAAGGCACTAATGTCGCCAGCAGTTGACTTGCCCAGAAACACCTACAGGTATTCACCATTCAAGACCCTCTGGCAATAATCTCCTAACGAGATGACAGATTCGTTCAATCAGACATTCAAACTGAGACAGACATTCTGAAAAAAATAAGTCACACACTTTGCAAGGGATGTGGTGCGCCCTTTCTTCAAAAGATCTCTTACATTCCAGCCGGCTGGTGGCCATTTAAACGAAGCCTCATTCTAGAATAAAAGAACGGAACACTGTTAAACGGCCGTCGTTCTGCAACTACACCGCATGAAAGATAGATAAATCATGCTGCGATAATATGAGTTGGGAAGACCGGAGTTAAAGGTTTACTACAGCTTATTTTGACAACTGTATCTCGGAGAACACCTCATTCGAATTGTGAATGACGTTTTAGAGTACTAGATCGCCTGTGGAGCAAAATTAAGTTGTCTTATAGGATATGATTAAAGCAAGTATGTTTGCGGGTATGAAAAGTTAGAAATTACACTTTCAAAATGCTTCTTGTATTTGCAAAATGTTTATTAAATTAAAAATGGTGATGAATATTAAAAATGTCTTAAGTCGGCCCCTTGGCGCAGACGGCTGCGGCAGCGGTCGTTTGTGCCGAGGAGGCTTGCATGGTTCTAGTCCGCTAGGAATGGCATATGTATGTCTCACCTGTACAACTATCATATCATTGCCTTTCATCTCATTTACTTCATCAGCGTAACAACCTTGTTGTACATCAGATGATATAGCTGAAAAGCTGATTCGGAAGAATTTAATTCTATTCTAATTTCGTGTATTTCGTGGTTTATTTAATTTTTGGTCATTATTTTGTTCACAATAATAATTAATTAATAGATAAAATAAATATATTTTTTTGTAACAATAAATGTCTAAATTTCTGTATGTGTTATGTCACGTACAAAGACATATTTCCTTAATTTTTTATTCTTTACGAACGATCATACTGTTGCAATTGAAATTGTTGCACAGCATTGATTTTTCGGTTGTTTTTTCCCCTCAAATAATTGATCATATGTTAAATAACTTAAAATGTCCTTCATACATTTTTTTCTGAAAATAATTAAAAACATTTTTCAAAAAGACTCATTATAAATCCTGCCACCAAGCCAGAAAAAGGTCTTAGTTCATTTCTACACATCTAGATAAAGCGTCACTCAAAGGGGGCTTCGTGGAAAAGATTCTAACATAGCCTCCTGAAAAATTTTCAAAATTAATATTTTTAATAAATTTCAAGAGAAGTGCTTGTAAATTGCATATAGTCGGTGATTCATTTGAATTTTATAAATATCACGCACACACACAAATAACAATTAAATATTTTTACGGTTGTTAATTGTTGATAATTTTTTACATATAACTTAATTTTTATTATTTTAAAGTTGGTTTGAAAATTACTAGTATTAAGTTTCTAAGTACAAAGTTTTTTTATCGATGTTTAATAATTATTTAAGCTTCCTACAATTTATTTGTGTACTATATTGTGATCTGAGTAAATTATTGATAAATGACGTTCTCTTAAATACTCGATAATTGATAAAAGTCGCTCTTGGTACAACTAACATAATCTCTCCTTCTTGTTCGTGAGGTATCTTTTCGTAACTGCATTGATCCTCTTGATTTCGTTCTCTCAAGTTCTATTTTTAAAATCGTCATTCAACACTGTATTTACACCATTACAATGTTCTTTCTGTTATAGGCGGTGATGAAAATCTGGAACCCGCAGAAGTTTTCTTCAAAAGAGTAAGTTGCTCTCTTCTTACTTCAGAAATTAGGTTCAAAACCAATTCGAGTAAGACTTCATCACTTTGCCGGTAGATGGCTCCCAAGTTATTTCTCAAAGAAAGAGAGACAGCTAGGACAATTATTAACTCGATAGCTTCAGAAATTCTGAAAATGCAATATGTTTACAATTAAATATTTTCTTCTGATTTTTCTGCACTAGGGCTATAAAATATAATAATACAAGGTCTTTATTAATGGGGAGATTTAAGCCTTAAGGTCTACCCTTCTGCCTATCCACCAAGTATTGGGATGGTCAATAAATTTAATAGAATGTAACAACCACAAGTGTTGGCCACAGGGGAGTCAAAAAACTAGATGGGCAACAGCAGCACATATTTTCTCGCTTGGTTGGGTATAGATAAGTAATATTGGATTATTGTAATTTCTGACATACTAGAAACACAGTTGTAATTTGAAAAGCTCCAATTCATAAGCAGCGTCTGTGTCAGGAACACCAGTCATTTCTAACTTCAACAAATGAAACAAAGGAATAAATTTAACTATTGCAGCACATACAGAAATAAAATATTAATTCTTCACACAGGCTTGTCTTAATTACATTGAAGTGATCAACAATTTCTGAATATCATATTATGCGATCAAAACTTCTTAAAGTAAAAGAAAGGTATTTGTTGTTTTTTTCGTTCGATTTCATTTTTTTCAATTTTCGAAACTACTGAGAGTGCTCCGAAAATAGGACAATCATCACTTCCTTTGCCGGTCTTTGCTACATACGTGAAAAAATTAATTTAAAAAATTGGAGTCATTTCTGAGAAAATGATTGTTTAAAATTTAAAAAACACTACCAATGTTTCACGCAAAATTAAGAAGAAAAACTCATATTTTCGAAAATTTGTACATGAATATTTTTTCAGATTATTCGACCCAGTCCCATTTTTGCCAAACTCTCCGTATTTTTGAAAATTGCAAAAAAGTTAAGAGTTCAAAACTACAAAATTCAAGATAGGGATTTTTGATTTAAAATCTGTTCTAAAGACACAGCTCGTTAGAAAAGGTCATGTACAGGTTTTGTTATACGAGCGGTTTTTTACTTAATGTCTGAAAACGTATTATTTTATTATTGTATTTTTCTAGATAATGCTGGAGACAGGAGCAAAAATTTACTGGCCAAGTCACCTGAAGATCGGAGGAAAGTCTAGAAAAAGTGAGTTTCACGATAGATTTACAATGCAAAGAAAGCTAACACTACTTCATGTTTTATTTCACTTTTTTAAAGAAAAATTGGTAAATGCGTAATCTTTCAATATTTTTAATGATATGCAATTTCATTTCTTTGGGGTACGAATATACAGGGCTTTGTTGAAAATGAAGGAAATGTCAGTAAAAACAAATGATAAATAAATAAAATTGTACATAATATTATTTATTATAAATAAAAGATCTCGGCTGGGAATAGTAATACTATATGGAAATATGGAAGTATTAATACTAATATATTACTCTTTTATGCATATTCATTTTTTTCTATTAACCTGACAGGTTCCTTGTAAGCACTCCGCACTGTACGGTTAACATGCAATGGTCAGTACCCTGCAGTACCCCTGCATGTATGTACTACTGCATTGGACATCATTTCCTTTAGTGTAGTGAATGTTTTATCCTGGGAGGTGGCAGTGTTCCTCTCCCCAAGATGAAGGCATTCGGCGCCGCCCTACACGTGGGCGTGCGCGAGATATTTCCTACCAGGTATCTCCCAACAGCGGCGCACAGCCCCTGCCGGATCACGCTCTAAGCTCCTGACTGGCATCGTAACATTTGGGGTTGAATAGTGCATGCGTATGTGTGTAAGGGGAAAGAGGAGAAAGAGGAAGGAAAGATTGTGCGCAGTCCGTGGCCAATTTGTTGTGGTAGTGCTCAGGCATTCGCCTTGAATTGATCGAATAACGCACGTACAACTACCGATCTGAGCAGACGGTAGAAGGAATTCTCCACGGCACGACTGACTTGGAACTAGCTATATCCGTACTAGGTAGTGTGAAAAAAACCCATCGTAGGGCCTACCGATGAGATCTCTGCAGTCTGGAACAATGCTGACTTTAAACGAAACTCAGCCTGTTCGGGGCAGAATGTAGCGAGGGAGATAAAATGTGGTATGAGGAGGGATGTGACAAGAGGTGGGGAAGCGTGGCGGGGTGGGGCAGGGTGAAGAGGGGTGAGACGGAAATATGTAGGTTGGGTGTGACATAGTTGCCAAGTTGCTAGAACCTTGGGGTTTGGCTCAGAGATTTCTAGTTTTAAATCAAATAACCAAGCTCCTGATTTATTCTTATTTTCTCCACATTATTTCATTACTTCGTTTATTTTAATGAAAATAATTGAAGTGTAATTTTCAGTACGTAACTCATACTACTTTGTTGTCTTAAAGAAATTCAAATTATTCATTCCAATTTTTTCTACTATGGTCATAAAACTACTTCTTTTCAGTCAAATAAAGTTATATGCCTCCCCTCCACTCACACACGCGCGCACGCACGCACACGTACAAACAAACGAGTTCGTCGAGAGCAGATGCCATATATTTAAATTCCTTTCAATTAATCGTTTTCATTTTACGTAAGCATTTTTCTTTATCTTCAGCCTTAGATTGTAAGAAATATTCTCCGGGTAGCAACCATTTTACAGGTTACACTCTGGGCCTAGGCGAGGCGGAGACGATCAGTGCGTGACAAATCAATCGGGGAGCAAACAGCACAGTAAAGCGGAGCCAAGATGGGAGGAGGGAGGTGGACCAAAGAGCAACGAGAAGAATGAGCAGAGAGACGGGACGAACTGTGCGGAAGCGGTGAGGGGGGACGGGACGGGGCGTAGCGTTGCGGGGCGGGCAAGAGCTTCGCAGGGGCTGGCAGAAAGCAGCCCGCAGCACATAGACGGTTGCTCGCAGCCTCCGAGATCTGCCCGGCGATTACGCCCAACAATCTCTTATCGCTCCATCACCACACCAACCGTTTCACTTCTGCTCTACTTGCTCTGTTGAACGTCGGATACAAATGGGTATTTCAATCTGATTTTCATCCCTCTATTTACTTCTCCCATGTCTACAAGCAAAGTAATAAAAAGGTCTTGCACTACGTCATCCTTGAGAACTCACTCATTTTTATCTTTCCCGAGTTCTCGCATATTTTGTTTGACTAATATTGCAGTAACTTCGCAAATACTCTGAAACATGCTTTAACGGGAGATACCATTTTTTTATTTCAGCTGCGTCAGGAAACGAAATGTAGTTTTTGTGTCTCTGTAGTATATCGATTTAAGCGGTAGGATTTCAAATAGGATTTGGAAAATGCCATTTAACCTGGTATGTTGCTGCTCCTGTTATTTTTTAAAGTAAATCTTCCTGTATTGGGGGTTAATTAGTTGCTGACGAAAAAAGTGGAGTTTGTTTGTTAAAAAAGCTATTGCTCGTTTTCAAATGGAATTGATCGACCGTTTTGATGATAGTAGTGATTTCAAAGTTCTTTCTCTCTCTTCTTTTACCAATTTTTCAAATCAATGCGAGACCGTTCAAAATATAAATTGTTACATCTTATTCTCAGTTTGACAGCTCATTTACCTAATAGGCTGTTTTAGATCGAATTTTCATATTAAACTCCTAATTTCCCTATGTTTTTGTACTGTGTTTATGTACTGATGAGCTATTAACTTTAGTATTATCTATGTTTGTGAATATAATTTGCATGAAATAGGCAGAGGGTGTTGCTCAATGATTTTATCTTCTTTCCATTTTATTTGTTCCTGCACATTTTTATTTAAATTCTATGTGTATTGATACATCAAACTTTCTCGCTTCAGACAACACATGTCCAATTGTAGAATCTAGTTCATCTATGTGTGTGTAGATCTTATTCCGAAATAATTTCTTGGCAACAGATATCAATATCATCGAGAGAGAATTCCACGAATCATAGATATTTTCGAAGGTCGTGTTCATGAAAATGAAAATCGATAGTGAATTTATATTTTCTTCCATCTTTTGTTAATGTTAGATTTACTTACTTTCAAATTTAGAATATATACGATACATTCTGTTATTTCTGATTATTGTTGAGTCTTTGAGATGATAATCGGTTTTGCAAGGTATCTCCACGATCTCCACTTTTGAGCAGTCGCTCTCAAACGTCGTTTGAATTTGCTTCGCTGGTTTTGAATAGTGGGGCGCTGCAAACGCAGAGAATCAGGACAACGAGAGAGGATCGCCACTTCACAATGCCCGTTTCCAGCGAACTGGGGATCGAAAACAACAACAACATATCACACCTGAAACGCGATGACGAAGATGCCACATCAGGTAGAAAATCTAGCGAAAAAGCACGATATACTATTATTATTATTATTATTATTATTATTATTATTATTACTTTCAAAATAGTATTTTTTTACACATGTTGCTTGTTTTAGAAGTCAGGATGATTTCTTCGTAGCGCTAGTTAAGATCTTCTCATTTTCAAAATTATAATAATAGGCTATTGACAAATTAGAAATTTATAAAATTTTCATTCAAATATTTTTAAAATTAAAACTTTAAATGTTTTTAAATGTTTTTTGTACACTCATGGAGGAAACTTGAAACTAGGTCTTTAACATATGGTTCATCAACTGTTGAGTTTTTATCAACTGTACTGTAATATTACTATAATTATTTCAAAAATAATGTTGGTGCCCCAATACTTTGTAGTTGTAGAAAAGAACTCTTTTAATTTTGGGTGTTCATTACACGCAGCCACTGGTATATTAACACAATTTTCTCAAAAATGTTTATAGAAAATTTTTGATAAAAACTTAAATTGTCTGTATTTTACTCAAAATTACACGAAAACATCAATTAATGTTTTCAAAAACTTTCATGTCATAAATTAGCGAACTAATTGTGGAAAACACATTGCTTATAAAAAAAATATATCTATCTTCAACAATGACGTTTTACGAGGCATTCAAAAAATACCTAAACTTTTACCATTTTCGAAACTAGAGAGTTAGCTGTGAATGACGCCGTTCGGAAAAAGTCTGGGGAAAATATGCAGAAAATCGTGATGGTTTATAGCAGAGGCCCGTGATATATATTTTAACCAATATTATATAAAATTAAATCTTTTTAAACCTTCTAGTGCAGTGTTGGTGGTTTAACTCTGGTGGATACACCCCCCTTTGGAAGCACGATAGAAACGAGTTGAATTTCAAAATCTATGTAACATTTAATTGATTATTTGGCTCTCTGTGCAACTTACTATCATGTGTCTAAGCGTTTCTGCTACTTAATAAGTGAAATTCCGTTTGGCAATATCAGAATGTAGCTTCACTGTGCGGGCGTTTGGTTCAACTCTCCTTTTGTTTGTAGTGGTAGGAGTAGAGCTAGGGGAATTGCTATTTTGTTGGCACTCAAATCTGGAGTTCGTTTTTCGATGCAAATACGTTTTCTATAACTCGGGAACAAAAATGTCTAGTTTTCTACAAATGTTGCTAATCTCGCGGTTTTTAATTTTAATACTATTTTTAAAACTTTTATTCATCATTCAACTAATTACAGTTCAAATATTGAGAAGGGATTCTGGAACTCAAAAAAACGTGCAAAGTTGATTTTCTCAAGTGTCACATACAGTTTCTACTGCTTTTTGACTAAATAAATCAAAATCAAATCTGAAATCTCTCCACGCACCGAAGCAGATCTCTAATGCTGCAACCTACACTTCAGTGATTGGCCGTTCGAAGTTGAGTTTTAGCTGATTAGCTAGCTTAACTTGTAGGAAATTGATTTCATTTCCAGAATTAAAAAAAATCATTTATGAATCTGTGGTAAAGTATTCAACATGCGATGGTTTCCGAACTACACATATGTACACATAATCTATTAAACATTTGTACATTTGTGATTAATGCAATTGAGCTAATTGAATGTTTTTATTGCATCTTAATTAGGTTTTAATTAAATAATTTGTTACAATTATGGTTTAATTTCTTAATATATTGAATATTTTTGTTGACACTACTATAGTGGCGTTACAGGGGAAAATAACTATTCTTTTATGTCGTCGATGGGAATTTGGTTTATTAAATCTTAGAAAACATGATGATGTACTTTCTAAGGAATACTGCTTACACTTGGAGCCGAAGGGAGACTGTATAACAAGTTACTTTTTAATTGTTTTAAGATACTGTCAGGATTGTCTGCATTGAGCGATGTGAATTGGATTGTTTCGGACAAACCAGGGGGACGTTACGGAGAAATTTATTTTGAAATGTTCGAAAGCGATTATTAGTAAGAGATGCGTAAACCAGAAGTTAGGCGAGTTATTTTTTTTTTCTATAATAGAAAGGCATTTGTGTGTTCAAGTGTTTAAGTGATGGCGATCTCTTAAGAATTACGTGTATTATGTGTTTAGTTAAGAGATTATGTGAAACTTACACGTTCATAATAATGCTTTACAAAAAGAGGAAAGTTCTCAAGAGGCCATTCAGAATATAGAAATCGATTAAATTCAACAATATAATTATCAAATCAGATATTCAAATATTGAATTGGGTGCCCCAGAATTTATTCCCGGTTTTCGAAATCGGTTAAAAGAAATTTCATAGAATCGGTGTTCGAACGAAAGTTCATGTCTGAATGCATGGTATGTGAACTGAAGTGGCTGATCAGGGATACCTTGTTACCTCACAAAAATTAAACTTAATTATAATTTTCCCCAAATTATTTAAACAATTATTATATGCTACCGGATTGCATCTCTATGAAGTAATTCCATTACGAATTAGTAAACTGCTTTTCAAAAATAGACGCTGTTGTGCAGAAACAGACTAACTCAAGTTGAATGTGTTTAGATAAAATGTATACATTTCTTTTGACAATACAATACAGTGTTAACAAAGATATAACTCCCATCTTAAAATATTTCAACTGTAAATGTATATTCTACCAAGTGGTGATGAGGAAGACCAGGCTCATTATTCTTGTAATGGATAAATATGTTATGAGTATGTTAAATATAAAATCTACTCCAGATTGCAACTAGCTTCCTAAGGAACAGATCCAAGGATTGTCGGAGCTTCTTCAATACTTTGCACATAATGTGTACTGTTCCCAATGCAAAGCAATGTCTTACGCTTCCCAGTCTTTTGAATAACCTCGTAGTTTATTATCATTATTACAATTACTAAAATAATTTTGATTATTTTTAATATTATTTTTTGTTGCTTTCACTTAGTCATATATGACAATAGTTGAGGGTAGGATGATTAATGTGGGTAGGATCCTTTCTGCATTTTGCAGAATCATATCTCGAGAAACACATTAGTCTTTAATTTCACTTTATATAATTTTGAGGGTTAGTCCCTTTTTCACAACACCATCTAGTTTTTTTTATATTCTGTAAGTGTCGTTTTACTTGAAAGAATTCACGGGGGGAGGAGGTGGGTATTGAAATAAGATCCTTCCCCCCTAGGAATACTTTCTGGCTCCGTCCTTGATCCGCCGACGAAAGAAAGACGAGTGAACGGATCACGTGCCGTCTGTCAGGATGTCTGCGCGCCAGCGGGCCCGCGAGGCAGACGACAGGCGCTTGAGCGAGGCGGCGGTTTGTTTGTATGTTGGCAGCGCCGCGCGTGCACCTCGCCGGCAGCCTGCTCAGTGTGATGGAGGCGGCCCGTCGCGTGCAGGAAGGACTGGCCGCACCGGTGAGTGCAATACAATCCATGTTTTTCAATTCTTCGTTTGCGTTACACTTAGCGGTTTTTGCTTCTGAAATGTTCTGTATTACTCGACTAAAATAGAATCGTAAGGTCCCCCTCTGCCTGAAAATTGTGAAAAATCGTGAAATGTTATCACTCTCAGCAGCCACTAAACTTTGATTTATTTTTAATGGGTTATTGTATCCTTTAATTATAGACAGTCAAATATAGACGGTATAAATAGGGCTTGATTTCTGCCGGAACGCAACGGAATTTCCTACCGGTACCTCGGGAATAATTATTATATTATAATATAAATGTACAATTATTAAATTAACAATTTTTCTAGGACCTAAAAGTTTATAACTCGAGCAATGAGTGTAATCAGTTTAATAGATTACTTGCACTTGTATAATTTAGATGTCATTCATAGTTTACTTTGCACTTGCATAATTCATATGTCAACACAAGTGCATAATGTGTTAAACATATTATATATATATATATATATATATATATATATATATGCCCATCTTAGTTTAGATTTAGATTTATTTAGTAAAAAACAGTAAAAACTACATGTGATGTATGGGGGAGAAGATTTTCTGCGCACGTTTTCTTAAGTTCCAGAATCCCTTCCCGTCATTTTAACTATAAATAGTTACAAGATGAGTAGAAGTTTAAAAGAAATAAAAATGAATTTTAAAAATCGCAAGATAAGCAATATTTGAAAAAATAGGCAGTTTTAGAAGTTCCGAGTTATAAAAAACTTATTTGCATCGGTTCACGAGCTGCAAGTGTGATTTTTCTGCTTTGCTAACAAAATAGTAACTCGCCCTCACCTCTACTCTTACCATTACAAGCACAATGAAAGTTCAACAAAATAGTATATAGTGAATCTACATTTACGTCCAAAAGTAAAACAAGGAGCCATCTCAGCATTTGCTCAATGGATCAGCAAAACTGGACAACAATCCAATCGACATGGGGATCATTGACCCAGAAGCTGAAGTACATTATTTGTTACAAACATATTAAGTCTTTTAAAAACATTATACAATACAAATGTAAACTAATTCATTATATATCACTAGTTTGATAAAATAAACATTATTTTTCTTTTTGGTAATCAGTATAGTGTCTAATTGTATAGAAACAGTTATGCAGCAGAAAAGATTTTACTTTTAACTTAAATTTGTGAACTGACTTCAATTGTTTAATGTCGTCTGGCAGTGCGTTGTAAAGTACGTACATGTGGATTTCTGAAGGATCTGACAACGTATGTGGATTTCTGATAGTGAGCTGTTGATACTGACACTTGATGAACGTGATTTTTACGACGTGTGTTGTAATTATAAATCTTAGTTTTGCATGAAAATATGTTCCCACCGTTAAGTGAGTCACTTTTGACAAATTCGTAAATATATAGGCAAGGCAGTGGTAAGATTCCAAGCTCAATGAAGAGAGACTTGCAAGGGTAACGCGGATGGCATTTTTTCATTATTCGAATAATTTACTTTTCCAATCTAATGGTCTGAGTACTACATGATGTGTTTCCCCAGAATTTTATACCACATCTCAGGCGGGAATGTACATTTGCAAAATACACGCAACGAGCTGCATTAAGGCTGACAGAATTTGAAAGAATTCTGAATGCGTAACATAATGAACTTTATTTAGTGTTTAATTTAGTTATATGCACATTCCATTTGAGGTTTGACAGAATCAAGAGCCCTAGAAATTTTTTTTACCTGAACATGCATGTTATTTATTATATCTAATTGCATGTTATTTATTTTCAATAGAGCATGCGATTGTTGATTTGAAGGGCAAAAATGCATTCAAACTGTTTTTCCTTCATTAACTATTAATTTATTATTACAAAACCAATTTGAAACTTCTAAAATCGTTCTATTTATTGTTTCTTTTTTGCAAAGAACATTCGTGTCATCGGCAAACAGAACCGTTCTTCCTTTTTTAATAGACGACGGTATATCGTTTACGTATACCAGAAAGAGGATAGGACCTAATATCGAGCCTTGCGGGACTCCATGTTCAATTGGTAAAGAATTGGAAGGATAAGTAAATAATGTTCTTTCGTGCCAGTACGGTATTTCTACTCTTTGAGATCGAAGTTTAAGTTATGAGGTTATCCTTTAAGGCAAGATGTTATGGTCAATAACGTCAAAAGCTTTCGAAAGATCTAAAATATTCCAATGGGTGCTTCATTTTGGTCCATTGATGAAGCAACATCTTTAAGAAAAGCAAAAATGGCAGTTTACGTAGATTTTGATTTTCTAAACCCGTGTTGTGAGTCTGAAAACGATTCGTTTTTCCTGAAAAAAGTTTCCATTCGCGCATAGAAAGGCCTCTCTAATATTTTAGAGAAACCTGACAAAAGAGAAATTGGTCGATAATTTAGAATTTCACTTTTGCTGCCTTTTCTAAAAAGTGGCTTAATTTTTGCTGTTTTGAAAATATCTGGAAATATTCCCGTGCATAAAGAAGCATTGAAAATGTGAGTTAACGGGTGTATAAAAGCAGGTACAGAAGTTTTCAATAAACAATCCGGAAATTCATCTAAACCAGATGAATATTTATTTTTTAGTTTACTGACTATTCATAAGATTTAGAGAAATTTAGAAGAAGTTTCGGAAATAAAAATAATTATAATAATTATTAATAATTAAAGTATAAATAACCCATTAAATTTAAACAGACCGTCCCAAGAAAAGCTTTATTTCTCTGATATATTTTCTTTAAAACGATTCAAGCCTATTTTTTCTGTTTAATATTTAAGTTACTCACTTATGCAGCAGGATCTCTTTAACAGGAAAATTTAAATGAACTTTTTCAGACGTGACATTTTCAGCTGCAACATTGCAATTAACTTTCAAAAGTATTTTAGATAAATAAATCATTATTTCTTTAAATTGTACATCATCGTTTTCTTTAGGGAATTAATCCAAATAATGACTACACCACTTTAATTTCCGAGTATAATGTACTTCAGTTTTCCGGTCAATAACCGCCGTCTCGATCAGTATTTTGTTCAGTTTCCCTAATGCATTGAGCAAATGCTGAGATGGCCCCTGGTTTTGCTACTGGACGTAAATGTACCTTCACTATGCGAACGTTTTGTTGAACTCTTCTTTTGCTTGTAGTGGTAGGAGTGAAGGAAAGAGCAAGTTACTATAATTGTTAGCAATGCTGAAAAATCAAATCAGCAGTTTGTTTACCATTGCAAATACGTTTTCTATAACTTAGGAACGAAAATGTCTAGTTTTTCAAATGTTGCTAATCTTGCGCTTTTTAAATTTTATTTTTATTTATTTATTAACTTTTACTCATCTTTCAACTATTTATAGTTAAAATAATGGGAAGGAATTTTGAAATTCCAGAAAACGTGCGCAGATGATCTTCTCCCTCGTAAGTCACATACAGTTGTTTAACTAAATAAATCTAAATCTAAATCTCATGTGAAATTTGTTCCAACAAAACGAGTTTGACTGCTTCACAAGAGCTATTCCAACCTCTGTGAAGTGTCTTAAACCTAATTCCTTCCCAATTCTGGCCGCTGAGTAGTAACGCAGCAGCGCGTGGTAGGAGGCGCGTACGCGGAGATACTGCCTGGCGGTCCTCTTGAAAACTTACTACGACTAAACGTGACGGATATGACAATTTTAATTAATAGAGGATTACTCCCGAGCTGTTCTTAATGGAGCACCCAAAGTACTCCCCTTAATACTCCCAAAGCGCTTAATGTTACCAAGGGGCTTGAAGACGCGTTGCGTGAATGTAGACGCAACAGCTTTAAAAAAAGTTTTGGGTTATTCTGATTAAATTCCCCTGAAACAAATATTTGTCTGCCTTTCATTAAATGTCATTGGGGCAGAAAAGCTCTAAAATGCTCCATCAGTATAAATCTGAAACTCGTATCGTAAAAGCTCTTATTTCGAAGTAAGGTAACACGATCAGCCAGTGTCTGACGTGCATGATGTTTCATCCTGCAAATGGAATTTGATATTTAAAGTCTCACCGCGTGATATTGAAAAATCGTAATGACGTGGCAAGAACCGCCTCTCAAGTTCCCTTCACTTGTTTTAAACTTCTAACAATAGACCAACTAAACAACTTAGCATCAATAATATTTTTTAGGAAGCCAGTAGTAAAAGAGGTTACTTTTATCCAGCGCACTAAATGTCCATTTTTTTAGCACGGTGGACGATGGGAGTGGGACGATGCTGAAGTGTTCGGATAATGCAACAAATGCAACAATTCGGTGAATGCAACAAATAAAATATTTAAATCTGACCACATTAACTACTGCTTAACATAACATAAAAACTAATTAAGTAATATGAATTCTTGAATTAAAAGAAAATGAAAGTCAGTAAGGCTGTCTAGTGTCTAAAACAATGAATGGCAAAGGTGATTAAAGTGATTTTATTTTGGCACACATGTGCTTCAAATTGTCATATTAATTAGTTTCTGTTGTGTAAATTTTAAATCAGTTGGAGTAACATAATCTTCGTTTGAAACATATAACCATACAAATTATCATACAAATCTTTTCTTGGAATATTATGCGACAAATTTGACATTTTTACGTATAATTAGTATGCACTACTTAAATACAGGTTTCGTATGCATTTACTCGATGGCAAAAGGCTCGAATTCAGACTAACTCTGTTGTATATATTATAATGCCACAATATTTTCTGACAGGACGAAAAAATCAACTAATGTGTAATTGTAGCCATATCTGATAGTACGTCGCAGTGAAGAATTCCCTAAACAATTGCTGTTAGGATGATTTTGGTCATTCGCTGATGAAAGAGAACTTCTTTTGAAAGGAAACAGATACAGTGCGGCTGCTACGGCTACAAGTCCTTTGAGTGAAAGCCGTAATGTCAGCTTTCCGAGTTGCCAGAGTACTGCGGATTGCCTACTTGGTGTAGCTTCTCTTTAACATGGAAGTTCTCCCGCTGATCAGCATAGGCTTCATCCAGGTTGTTTGATACATCTCTCGATTTTCTTTCCGACTGACAATGTCTGCAGTTCTTCTAATGTTTTTAAAACATATATTTGTAGTGAGGCCGTTGACGCTCAGCTTGGAAGCGGAGCTCTTGTACCTATCACTATCATCCAAGCTTTCTGTATCCCCTATCTCTCTTTCATGTCCAGTCCACATTACTTAATGTTCATCTGATATTTACTCTGCAAATAAATATTTGGGCATTTTTGGTATTTTCAAAATGTACGCGCTTAGGAGTTGTGCAAAAGTATTAAATATTTTCTATAAAATATGTTTGTCAACTAGCTATTATACAGACTGTAAAACAAAATTAAATAAATAGTACCTAAAACGACGTTCTCATATAACGAAAACAGCAGGTAAATTGAGCACTACTAGTCACATATTTGTGATTAAACTTTGCACTGAAATTGCAATATCTGATGACATGAGCACAAACTGAGAGCAACATGCTTTGCTCTGTGCTTTTAATAATCGTTTATTATTTCAGCTTTAATAAAAGTTTTAATGTCATTAAATTACTTGTAATCAATATACCCGTGACACCAATTAAAGGTAACACATTAGTTTCACAGTATAAGACGTATAGTATTTCCACAACATTTCTTTCCCAAGAGTTAGGAAATATATTAATGCACCAACATTTAAATTGATTTATTCAAATTTTTTTTATTTTCCAATGTGTTAGTGCAAGAGCTATAAAACCCGGGAGGAAAGAAAACTAATTAATCTCCCGTACGCAAAATATTTTCCTTCGCTGTTTTTAAGTAATTTTAGTAATTTAAAAAAAAATGTTAAGACTAACTGAAGGCTCTTCTGAAGGGGCCCTGCTGCTGTAGGATTGCTACTTTTCTTGGATTCGTTATAGCTTTCTAAAGTTCATTCTGTAGTACCTACATTATACCGTAATAATTGTATTTTTGCTAAATAAATTTATTTATAAAATAGCTTCCTAGTGTCCAACAAAATGCTACTTTTTTCACTATCAATATAATGAAAGTTGTTTTTATTCCCTAGAAATTAAAATTGTTTTTACTCCCCTGAAATTAAAGGTGTTTTAACTCCCTAGGGAATTAAAGTTCTTTAACTCCCTAGGGAATTAAAGTTCTTTAACTCCCTAGAGAATTAACGTTGTTTTATTCCGTAGGGAATTTAATTATTTCCACACCCTAAGGAATAAAGAATGTTTTACTCCCTAAGGAATTAAAATAGTTTTAACTCCCTTGGAAGGCAAAGTCGCTGCCAAACCCTCCTCCAAGGAAGAATCCCTTTTAACATGACCCACGTAGCAGCAGTAGCCTCGACGAGGCGCGTTGTGGGTGTGTGCGTGGCGCAGGAGGAGCGCGTGACTCTGAAGCTGGACCTGTCGCACGCCTTCCACTCGCACCTGATCGGGCGCGGCGGCGCCGCGGTGCAGCGCCTCATGCAGGAGACCGGCGCGCACGTGCACTTCCCGGACTGCAACCGCGCCGCCGCGCCCTCCGCGCCGCGCTCCAACCTCGTCTCCGCCGCGGGGCCCCTGCGCCACGTCGAGCACGCGCGCCGCCGACTGAGGGTGAGTACGCGTGACGTATATGGCCTACGTGGGACAGCGCGCAGTCCAAGGGTGTCTAAAGAGGAGTACGCGCGGCGCCGCCTAAGGATGAGTACGCGTGACGTGGCCTAAGTGGGAGAGCTCGCAAGGCCAAGGGGAGTACGCGCGGCGCCGCCTGAGAGTGAGTACGCGCGGCGTGGCCTACCTGGGAGAGCGCGCAAGTGGATGTCTAAAGAAGAGTACGCGCGCACCGACTGAGGGTGAGTACGCGTGACGTGGCCTAAGTGGGAGAGCGCGCATGCCCAAGGATTCTAAAGGAGAATACGCGTGACGTGGCCTAAGAGGGATAGCGCGCGACGACGCCAAGGGGTGAGTACACGCAATGACGCCTGAGGGTGAGCATGTGTGACAACGCCCAAGGTGAGACCCCGTGACGCCGCCTAAGTGCGGGAACGCGCAATCACACCTGAGAATGAGTACAATCGACGACGCTTATAGGCGAGTACGCACAACAACGCTTAAGGGTGATTACGCGCGACGCCACCTTAAGGTGAGTACGTGCAATGCTAAGGGTGAGTACTCGCGATGCTATCTGAGTGAATACGTGCGTCTCCACGTAAAAGTACTTACGCGCGAAGCCATCTAAGGCTGAATAAGCATGACAATGCTCAAGGGTGAGTACGCGCAACGCTGTGTAAAGCAAATAATCTACAAGTCGAATATTTGTGATGGCGGCCGTTCAATAATTTTTGAAATTCCATCTTGATATTTGTCTTTTTTAAAATATATAACTTGGTAAATCAATACACTTGAAATTTGTAAGAATTGATCCCAAACTGAGGGCCTTTTCACCTGGATGAATTCTCTAATGAAAATAATACAAAATTTAGCTTAGGGATGTAAATAACTCAAAAACAAAAAAAATGGCCTTAGTTTCTCAGGTACACCGACGATATGCTTCTCAATGGTTAAAATAGAAATTATAAAATTTGCTAAGTTACAAATTATTTTTGCTAGATTTAGAATTTTTAACATGAATAGTATAAGCTTTTCTGTTGATTTGCCCTGATATTTTCTCCTGAACATAATTATCGTGTTTATTACCAAAGTAACGTTTCTCCAATTCCATTTATCTGGTTATACGTATCAATATAGAACGCTGCGATACGACGCGCAATGCGATGCGCTTGCCATGCTAGCAACGCTTGACGTCTTGCTGTCAAGAATTGTATTGAAAAATTGCGTTTTCTTCTGTGTTACGGCTAGCCAAAAATCGTTGTATCTCCACTGACTGAAAAGTAGATCGTGTTCTACCTTTTAAGGCACTTCAGAGAACCGAGCTACAGAACTACCGAGTTTTTATAACGCGTATCATATTTTAGCATCTTTTCAAGATTTGAAGTCAAAAATCTCCTTTTGAAGAGGTAGACGCATCAGGCCAACTTCCTGTTCATTCATTAAAACAATATTTTCAAGCTAAAATGGTTAGAAATCTCTTCTCAACTTCTGCTACTCATGTACGTCGTATTAGAAATAAAGTTTCAAGATTGAACACAAAAGGTTTAAATGAAACAGACTGTATAGACTGGGATATTGGAAAAATAAAATTATAATAAAGATGTTGCAAAGTCTGTTTTACACGGTCAGTTTTTCATCAGCTTTTAAGATATTTATAAACAGGAAATTGTTGAAAAACGATATTAAACCTGATAAATAAATAAATTCGTCCCTTTAATTATCTCCATGATGAAAAGATATGGGTGAGCTGTTGCGCGGCCGATTAGCTTCAGCCAGTGATATTCATGCACCAGTTACAAATGAGTAGGAATTTGAAATGAAGCCACATTCTAAAATTCCTTGTAACCATTCTTTTGAAGATATACTTGAAGCATTTTTTAAACATTGCATATTTTATTTCAACTACACTTTCATCATGTTATTTTTGGTTGCCCACAGTTGCAAATTGTCACTTTACGCTTCTTTCAAAATGTTTATCATTGGCACTGCTTGCTTGCCATGTCGCATGGCGTCTGGCCTGGCTTTTTAAACGAAGTGCCCGTGTTGTGGTCACGTGGATCGTGATGTAACTGCTGCTGCACAGAACGAGTAAAAATCGGTGCGCCGCGTCGGACCAGCTCACCCATGGCTTTTCATCATGAGTATCTCTGAAGGCGGCTCCTCACATTAGGTATTTGGCGAGTAGCCAGCGACTACTCGTCCAATCTCGAGTAGCTGATGTGCTGAGCGGGTGTTTGCTTCCTTTGATGTGCCTGAAAGACCAACATGCGGTGGGTTAAGGCGACTCCTCACATTCGTTATTCGGCGTGTAGCGAACAACCGTTCGCAAAATAACGAGTAGTGAGGATGAGTTGCTTGTATTTGCCGAGTAACGAATATTCGATGCTCACCCTAATCACCGCGTGTCGATCTTTAGGACACATCAAAGGGAGCGAACATTCGCCGTATACATCAGCTGTTCGGGATTGGACGAGCAGTAGCTGGCGAATGCCGAATATATGGAGCCGTATTAAGGCGAGCACCGAATGTTCGCCGTTCGGCAAATAACAAGCAACCCATCCAGACTATTCGGGATTCGGCGCACGGTCGCTGGCTACTCGCCGAATACCGAATGTGTGGAGCCGCCTTGAGTCCTATGAAGTGGGCGACTTGCTAGTATACTGCAGGAGATGAAACTTTGGGGTTGGCAGTTACCTAGCACATGCTGCGCCCCTCCTCCTACCTCCTGCGTCGAACTCCATCGGTACAGCTATTCAGGCATTTTAACAACGACATGACGAGACACTGCGACCTTGTTCATTCCGCAGTCACTTCTCAGATTTAGGCATTGCAACGTTTCTAAACACAGTTTAACATAGAGAAAAAATATCCATGGAATAGAAAAAATGCAATGTCATCCAGAAAATCCAGATCCTTTCAGTTGATGTACAGAAATAAAGTCTCCGTGTTTTTCTTTTGTAATGGGATGCAAACAATTCAATTATTCTTAGGGGAGGTAATATGTCACTTTCACAATCAGTTTTTAGCAGGTCTGTCTTCATTATTACTATCACCGTAATCTCGAAGAGAAAGTATGAAATCTTGAATATTGTGTTTAATCATATCATTTTTCCAGTAGCAGCTTCTTTGATATTTCTCTCTGTACGTTCAACAACTTTTTTCTGTGTGTCAGAAGTGATATGATGTAGAGAAGTGAATAGCTTCTGAAACACGTTTATAAAACGTGCAAAGTCTTGTAAATCATGCAAGTCTTGTTTCTTTCCCCATACATACCTCTTCATGTGAGCCCAAATATTTTCAGTTATATTAAATTGGCAATGATTTGGAGGTAACATGAAAATATTAAACAACAGTTGACATACTGCAGTGAACTTGAATGAACATATTTCACTTCTCCAGAAACACCTTAGAAAAACAGTGTCCGTAACCAATCCTTTGGAGTGTTGCGATGCCCATTACTGAACACTATGAACTGAGTTAGGTCCTGCCAAGCTATGAAGTGGAAAGAGTTTCCTGTTTGAAAAGATAAAATTCATCGGAAATCCTACTCATCGTTCACTCATTATCACAGCTCATATTTCATTTGGGTCCAAGTCTGAGCGCGGTGCCCCACGCCAGTAATCTAATCGTGCCTTCGGCCGTACACGTGGTGATGTTTAGTTCAAATCATCGGCAACGCGGGTCGGCGGATGCTGATGTAACTGACACGTGATTGGCCCAGCGCATACCGTCGCCATGGAAATGTAGGAATAGCGCCTAACTGTCAATAGCAAACTCTCATCTCCCGCAGTATATTATTATCCGAATAATATTTCTCTCTACCTTGCAACGGAGGTGGGGGTAAAGCGATGTTTCCTCTAGCACGTGCAGAAAACACGTGGAGGTATGGTCGATTTTATATCGATCACAACCCAAACAAGAAACAAATCGCAATAAGAGCACAGCACCCCACACACGTTGCATAACCAAAGAAGTAATTACGTTCTCAAATATTTAGTTGCTTCTCGCTGTTAGATTTCGTTATTTTCTTAATAAGTATTGGCACCTCTGCAGTGATGTCATAATTTGAAGCCTCTGAGTGGATAACAGAACCGCTTCTTATCAGTGCGCCGCTATTAGCTGCCAGAAAGAAAGAAATAGTATATTTCGTTTCTTAACGTGGCGCATGACGTATATCAGCTGTTTACTGTGTCATCCAATCGGGAACTTAGTCACCACAATGACGTCACCACGTGACACTGTAACGGCTAATCTACGTCATGCGTCACGTTAAAAAACAAGAATAATATTTCGGTTTTTTATTATCCAGAGGCTTCAAATTATGCTGACGTCACTGCAGAGTTGGTGATACTTATTAAGAAAATAATGAAAGCTAACAGAACGAAAGCAACTGAAACTTGAAGGGCGTCATTACTTTTTCGGTATACATCGTGTGTGTCATCTACTGCTGGGTACTATTTCGATTTGTTTCTTGCTACTGTTGTGATCTGATGCAAGAATGACCTCACGATCACGTGTCTGCCACCCGCAACATCACTGTGTTCCCATTCCAGTTGAATCGTTTATTTCAGAAACCCGTCAAACGCCAAAATCTAAAACACGCTTTAGCCACGGATTATTGTTCCAGGAGGATAGACACGTCGCTTATGCATATTTATATGAAGAATATTCTTTTATCAACTCCTTTAACAAACAAAAATGTTTGTATATCTGAAAAATTTAGAAATTTATCAGTTTTCTCGAAATGAGGAATTTGGCGTTTGACGGGTTTCTTAAACAAACGATTCGGTTGTCAAGTAGACAGAAATATTATTTTAACTATACTCGGCAGCTAGCGGGTATCTGGGGGGGGGGGGAGAGGGGAATCGAAAACTGGCGTATAGTGGACTACATAAGTGGAGGGCGAATGGCGGATAGCGGGTGGACCAGATGCTGGTAGGCTTGGCGCGCGCGCGTGCGCAGGAACTGATGGCCGGCTGGTCTTCTGCCTGGACGTGCGAGCGGGGAGGCGGGCGGCGACAGTGGCTGCCTCACGGCGGCGGCGGTGCGGGCGGCGCAGCCGGCGCTTCGGGGTGTCGGTTGTGCGCGCGCGCTGCCGCGCGGCCGGCGGCGGCGAGAGGCGTTGCGGTGGAGGGGGCTGTGCAGTTTCCGCCAGCGTCTCCCCGCTGGGCCCCCGGTCCCGCCTGCCCGCGACTCCTCCAGCGAGGCACTTGCCCGCGCGCATGGCGGCTACCCGCCACTGCGGCCGCTTGGCCCGTCCAGCTGCGGCGCCGGATCGGTTCCCGACACGCCCTGTTGCCGAGGTCAGGCAGCGTTTCATGCCGTCGGTTTTAATTCGTGCGTCTTCTCCCCCCCCCGGCCTTCCCCCCCTATGGTCATGCTTTTTCTGTTTTAATAAAGTGGTGATTAGGACCATTTCCGGGAAGTAAGTGGTGTTCTGCCTTAATTTCTCTGCGTTATGACCCCACGGTCGATGAACTCTGACTACATTGTCGTCTTTGGGCGGCGGCGCCCATCGGTTCCTTCCTTCACTCCCCCGGCAGTGTAGGGGTCCTATCCCCTGTTGAGGCTGCACGCCCTCTTAGCTGGGGGCTGTAGTCCTGCCAAAACATTTCTGCGACTTGAATGGTTACACTGTAATTGCATGTAAGCTGTCGATAGTACATGTACTTAGGCTGTATTAGTTCGCAAGAGGCATGCACAGGGGGTCAATGGATGATAAATGAATAAGAGCTACCATCAACTGGTACCGTTGGTGCCGGTCGGAAGACTTCTCTTGGCAAGCTGCTCAAGGTTTTCCGACGTTTGTTGCATGGAATTTTTGCATAGAGGTAATCCTCCTTCCCAAAGGGGAAAAGAAAACACACCCTATCTAGTCCACGCTTTACCACCCCGCAATTCTGTTTAACACGCGGCACCTCCTTTTTCTTAGGAGTCTTCGTCACTTAGGGTACACATTCTTGTCTCTTTGGTACCACACTTCCGCTCTTCCCCAATGCACTTTGAATTAATATCGAACGTAGTATTCATTAACCCTCTTTTAGTCAAGCCGAAAATAAAAGAATTAAACTTAGACTTCCTAGCTAGTGAAACGGATAATCCCTTCACCATCGGACTAGCGATATAACTCCGCATTATAGACACCTTTCCGGAGTTAGTTGACATGTTTGGATCTCGAGCAAGAGCCCCCAATCCAAACTGTTGTGCTACTTCTTCCGACATCCATTTTTGCCGTGGATTTTTACTCAGTAAAGGAAACTCTTTTGTCTTGCATTTGGGTATAAGAGTCACGAAGTATTATAATACAGTCCTATCATCTGGAAATCACGGAGGAACTTGTGCTGGAAACTGATCAAGAGAAGACCTCGAATTTCTCTTCTCAGATGCCAGAAGATATCCGCTGCAACATTCTACTCTTAACACACATGACTGCCCACATTGTGTTCTACCATACTCGCACATGGATTATGTCCTTGGTGTGCGTATTGCTCTAATCTATGCTGGTAGGGCTGGATATCATGTCTTAATTGGTGTAGCAATTTTTTCGAAAGCCGGCAACGTTTGGAGTTGTGCCTGCCACTGTCAGCAGGAGAGAACTATATGGAGGCTGCCATTCGCCAACCCCACCATCATTCCCACCAAGCTTAGGGCTTGAGCAAGAATATTACTAAGTATACTCACTCTTAATAACTTCTCGTTATTTCCCGCTCTTACTCCTGAATGCATCACGGTCATTTACAATTGTCGCCTTGGACATTCATTCACATCTAATGTTCCGCCGTTTCCCCTCCATCCTGCCTCGTCTACGGCATCGACAATTGTACATTCTCACGAACGGCAACTTGGTTCTACGCAGTAATTAATTGTCTCTATCCTCCTCACGGGTTCCCGTCTTTCCGCCGCTTTTCCCGTCAATCCTTCGCGGCCGGCCTGGCGGGAGCGTGCCGGGCGGCGCGCGTCGGAGGGCGGGCGGTCGTGAACGCGCCGGGGCGCACCAAAGGCCGCGGCCGCGTACGGCACACTCTCGCATCGGCAAGGGTCTTTTCCAAGAGAATTTATCCATAGCCAAACTCTGAAACGGCTGCGGATTGCAAGTTGTCCGTAGTTCCTCCGTATGGAT